TTTTGTTTTTCTTTGATAATAAGGTATCTAGGGGCTAGGAAGATCGTGTTAGCACGAAGACTCCCGGCGATGTAGACCCACTACTTTAACACGCTCGGCAGATCTATATCCTCCGCAGACATGTCGCCATGTCAGGGTTCGTGGACTAAATCTAGGATCTGCTCGGCACATCTGCCACCGGGGCGTAGGCGGGGTAGCTCCGCGTAAGAAGGTCACGAGGACTACTAGCCCAGAATATTGCCGGTTGACAGAGCTGCTATTCGAGCCATCTGGATACATAAACTTGAGATATTCTCATTCGGTCTCTTCTTACCACCCTCGCATGAAGGAATAAAGAGGCTATAGCGAAGGCCAGCTGACTCCAGGCTTGAAATCTTACCCCAGTTTCGGATACCGATCTACAATCGAGTCGATTAGCCTCGGGTCTCCCCCTCTTCATGGAGCGGAAACCATGGCGCGGCTTCAGGGTCTTTGTGCTACTTTGTTATGGTTCTATCAGGTTAACAACGTGATCTCTCAATGTTCAGGAGATTTTCAACCCATCTCAGCATCTGAGTTTACTGCTCAGCTTCAGCCCGGATGGAATTTAGGGAACACCCTCGATGCTTTCCCGAATGAAGACAGCTGGAACAACGTACCAGTGGTTGCAGGAACCTTTGATGATGTGAAGGCTTTCGGTTTCAACAGCGTCCGCATCCCAGGTATGTTCTTGACAGCCAGCCCTCCTGTAGGGCGACACCCGCCTCTTGTTAGCATATGCTTAAAGACACCATGTACCTTATTAATCATAACAGTCACTTGGATGAACCATTTCATCGGCTTTTCAGACCAGGGAGACTCTCCTGATTGGACAGTAGATCCTGAATGGCTCCAACGAGTTGCTAACGTCGTCGACATGGCCACGTCTCGGGACCTCTATGTCATCATTAATGTTCACCACGACTCGCACTTTTGGGCGGATCTGACAGTAGCAAACGCTAATTATAGCATGATAGAGGAGAAGTTCTACAGGCTCTGGTACCAGATTGGTACCAAACTCGCCTGTACCCCATCCCTCGTGGCATTTGAGCCACTTAATGAGGCTCCTGGAGACACAGCCGAGATTGCGGCCGAGCAGAACAAGCTGAATAACATATTTCTTCAAGCAATCAACGACGCCGGCGGATTTAATTCAAAGCGTGTCGTTACACTAAGTGGGCCCGGTCAGGATATCGTTCGGACAAGCCTCTGGTTTGAGCCGCCTGACTCGAAGTACACGAATCCGTGGGCCCTCCAAGTGCATTACTACAACCCTTGTAAGTCATCGCCGGTCTGCCCCTTTATTTGTGTACTATGCCACAAAGGCAAGCACTGTCTGACATGGATCAACTAGATGATTTTACGTCAGCCGCATGGGGCAAAACCATATGGGGCTCTAGCGTCGACCTTTCCGCATTCGAGACCGATTTTAGTCGGCTCCGCGACAACTTCACTGACGTCCCGATTGTTGTTGGCGAGTGGCTCGTGAGTCCGGTACATTCGGAGCCTGCAGCACGATGGAGATACTACGATATCATCGGACGGCTCTCCAGAAAATACGACTTTGCTCCAATTGTGTGGGATACCGGCAACGATCTCTTGGACCGCAGTTCACACACCTGGTACGACGTAACCGGCCTCAACCTTCATTTCAATGCTTTAGCTGGCAATCTCAACGCTCTTCCCGACTCAACCCTGGACACTACGGCGATTAGCCAATTCAGCTCGGCGTTTGTTTTTCACAAGGTCGGAACCGCTGTCGAGAGCGTATCCCTCTCCTTCACATTCAACGGAGACTCCGTCAAGTCCATTACCACGGCGGACGGGGCCAGCCTCACGCTGAATTCGGACTACACCGTCGACGAGACTGATATCACGCTATCTGTATCATTCCTGTCCCACTACTTCGATGTTGCCGGTCCTCCGGGCATCAAGACCACGTTGTTGGTTTCTTTTGCCAGCGCGCCGAGCATCCCGATCCAAGTCGTGCAGTGGGATACGCCCACGCTCCCATTGTCCAGCACTACGGCGACTTCGGCTAGTAACATCGACGGAGAAGTGAATTGGAACAGCGTCGGGAAGCCCGCGACGGTAGCAGCTTTCAAGAGCGATGGCACACCGTTAATGGACGAATGGACTGTGGTGTTGCCGCCTCTGCAGCGGGGGAGAACAACACTTGGCAGTGGTTGGGGCTGGAGTTGTGAGTTCTCTGACTCGAAGCACGTTCCGTCCAGGAAGTCTACTAACTTCAGTAGGGGGCCAGCAGGGAGTCACAATTGCTACGGCTGCTGTATCCGCCGCCATTCAATCGGGAATGACAACAACCTTTATGCTGGAGTCGTACCCTCGCGTTCTGGGCAACTATGCTAACTTCACTTTGTACGTTTGACAGAACTACTATCGGGCTTCTTACTCTTGTTATCAAATGGAAGAGAGAAACAAGAGCTTCGTAAATCTTCTTAGTGGTACATCATGGATGACAGCACATAGCCAAGGCAACCGAGGTCCTCGTATGATGGATTACGGTTTCTCAATTCAATGGACTCGACTAGATCATAGATCCAGTTCCAAGTGAACATTCTGTATCTCAGCACCCATGTCATCTGCCTGCTAGTAGTGGACGATTTGTAGGTTTCTTCTGCACTGCGCAAGCGTCCGTCCAAGGTTTCCTACCTCATTCACCTACATATGCCCACGATTCTATTGTCTGAAAATATGTGAAGGCTAAACCGTACCTTTCAAATTTTCTCTCCGACTGTTACATTCAGATATGCCTAAATTTTCATGGCACTGTTACATACATCAATACGTACGTGGAATGGATGACTGCAACATTGAGTCTCATATCCTACGGAACATAGAGCTGCCCGAACTTTCAGCTGTGGGTCACCTTCCCCCTTTCACAATGCCTTAAGTTGAATGCTCGCATCCCAATCTGGGAACGATCCTTCCCAGTTGCTGGAAGTTCGGCGCAGGAGGCCGACCTCAATGAGTACGTCTGTCAGGGTCCTGAGGCAATCGAAACTGCGTAAATGACCGGCGCTGTACCAAAACCGCCAAGAAAGATGTGAAGCGAGGAGATGGTGTCGCCGTTAAAGCTTTTGAAGTGCCTGATACTGGCCGTCAAACTTAGCAGGGCTTCTCAAAGCTGCGAGTTTCCTTCGGGTGCCTCGCCCACCCCTGAACCGATAAATACGTACGCTGCTAGCTAGAGAACCACGCCTCGGACTCTTTCGTCCCGATCATAGAATCAGAAGAACCCAGCGAGATTAAGCAGCAATCTTTTCACACCCTCTTCCCTGCAGATTGGAGCGGGGAAGGTGGGATGTATGAAGGTGATGACAGGTATATGAGTCTCAGCTGACAGGTTTCGTGGATTATTTACCCCGAGAAAGCGGGATCTTGGGCATTGGGAATTTATTTCAAGGGATTTGAAGCTGGGGAAAAGCGGGACAAGGGGTGCGATGTGACAGGCCAACGGACAGGTGCGATTCGGACGTTGTCTTAAGGGCAAGGCACATGAGAGCCGGGAGTGTATCCAGTAGAGATGGGAATTCGGCCCTATAATAATGCACTAAACGTTAAGATATTTCAGTGACGCTGTTCGTCTCAACTGCCTTCTACTTCTAATTAGACAGAATATGTTTGTAATATATGTAAAGAAAAGCACGAACTGGGCTGGTTAAGTATAACCTATAAATTTTAGATTCCGTTCTTTAACAGTTTAATATCGTATAAAATCATAATTTAAAAAGTTTCTTAATTAACTTATTAAGATATCTAAATAAAAGAATATAAGTAAAGTTTTAAAAAGAGAAAAAGAATTATAAAAAGGCATTAATAATAAGATAACTTAATATTTAATATATTAACGTGGTTATATAAAGATAGTTTAATAAGCTCATTCCATAGTTAAATAGGAATTTTATAAAAATAATTAGTTAATCAATTAAAAATAAGAGCGTATACTTAGAATACTTTTATTTATTTATATTAAAATACATAATCTCTTAGGCTAAGTAAAGGTAAAGCATGTTAATTCTTTAGAGCCCTATATTATTAGACTAATTCGTTATGCTATATAATTAACTATTTTAAAATATTAGTCTTATTATGTATATACTTTTTAAACTTATATATATTAAATAGTAATCATAGCTATTAAGTTAATTAACTTTTAATATAGAAATAGATATAGATTATAGAATATATAAGTTAATTTTAATATAATAATAAATAACTTTTTTAACTATTAGTTAAAAACTACTCTTTGAAATATAATCGGAAGGTAAGCATCCTTCCTTACTAAATAGCTTGCTCATTAGCTACACTATTAATATTGACAAATTACTTATGAGGTATTCTTTGATAAGATTAACTCTGTGTAAGTACCGGTATATAACATTCTCTGGTTACGTATATCAGACAAAGACAGACCGGCCTAACTTATCATAAGTAGGGTGGTGAGCGACCTGTCCTATGTGACTTATGGCTTACTGGAGGGAGGAGAGGTCAGCTGCCCGAAAGGACCAAGCAAAGCCCGCCGCAGCAGCGCCCAGGGTCCTCAAAGCAGCCAAGGCATAACGAGGTGGCAACATCGGCCGCAAGGCGACCTACGATGAGTCGAATCTATACAGGTCAAGGTTGGAGTTTGTGGGGAGGATGCGCGTTAAGCTGTGCCGCCTGGCTATTTTACTGCTTTGGCGCCCGCAGTTTCAACACCTGCAGAATAGCGTAGAGGGACCCTTGGTTCCTGTGTCATGCATGTGTCATGGCACGCAGTGTTAGAAATACGTCACCTACCGCCCGACTTCGGGCGGAGATGTCTTCTCGGGGCAAGTACGGCCGATATGATCCATGAATAAGGAAGACTTACAAGAGCGATGACTGTACTGACGAACCTCTATATGAAAGGCTCGCAGGCGGCATAGATAGCCTCATTAATCAAACCGAACATCTTGTAGTCTATACTCTTCACAAGTATGATGTTTGACGGCTTACTTCTGTATGCCATCACGGCGGCAGCCACGGTCATTCAGTCCGATGCCCACTTTTATGGGGAGAGCCCGCCTGTCTACCCAGCTCGTACGCCTGGACCAGCATTCATAGGTTTTCTATGCTAATCAGGAGGATCTTAGCCAATATGACGGGGGCTGGAGATTGGGCAGACGCTTATGGGAAAGCCAAAGCTCTCATTGCGGAGATGAGTCTCGACGAGAAAGTGAGTATGTTGCGAGGCAGTATCGCAACAGCCTAAACATCAGAAGCGAGATCCGAGAAAACATCTAACTGATTACCGTAGTCCAATTTGACATACGGTGTCTCTATCACACATAATGGATGCTCCGGTAACATTCCAGGCGTTTCTCGCCTTGGATTTCCGGGTCTTTGTCTCCAAGATGCCGGAAACGGTGTTCGAGGCACTGACATGGTGAACAGCTATCCCGCGGGCATGAATGTTGGCGCAAGGTCAGAAAGCCCCTTCACGATTCTGAGAGATGCTGACCGGACCAGCTGGAACAAAAAGCTTACCAAGCTGAGAGGTCATTACCTTGGAGGAGAGTTCCGCACCAAAGGCGTGAACGTGGCTTTAGGGCCTGGTACAACATCCTGACGTCGGATCTTAAGACTGGCGCTGACTCGATAATAGCCGTTGGACCGTTGGGTAGGGTAGCTCTTGGCGGTCGGAATTGGGAGGTGTTTTCCAACGACCCTTACCTCTGCGGTTCGCTCGCAGCCGAGACCATCACTGGCATTCAGGAGCAAGGGGTCATGGCGAGCGTCAAGCATTTCATTGGCAACGAACAGGAGACAAATAGAAGGCCCCTCGAGGGGTCCGAACCCCCGGTCGAGGCGGTGTCGTCTAACATTGACGACAAGACCCTCCACGAGCTTTATCTCTGGTGTGTATAGCTGCTGTAATTTCCCCCACCATTTCAGAAACTGACTAGGAATGAAGGCCATTCCAGGATGCCATGAAGGCTGGTGCGGCGAATGTAATGTGCAGGTATAAACCGACGCTAATCCTTGGTGTGTTTCAAGTTAATTTGAATCCAGTTACAACCGTGTAAACAACTCGTATGCCTGCGCGAACAGTAAGCTACTCAATGGGGTGCTCAAGACGGAACTCGGATTTCAGGGCTTCACCGTCAGTGACTGGGATGCCCAGCGTATGTTGAACCCGTTCCCCTTACTTAAAAACCGCTGACTTTGAAAAGACTCAGGAGTCGCGAGTGCTCTCGCCGGCCTCGACATGGCCATGCCTGGTTCCGTATATTGGGGCGCCAATCTTACCACAGCAATCCAGAATGGCTCTGTGCCGGAATCACGATTGGATGACATGGCTACAAGGTAAGCTAGTCCGGATCTCTGTGTTTGAGCTTGAGCCAACACTCAATAGAATCGTTGCATCGTGGTATTATTTAAGTCAAAACGAAGGTTACCCAGAACCAGGCATTGGGATACCATTCGAAATCAGAGGGCCACATAAGCGAATCAATGCCAGAGACCCCAATGCGGTTCCGGTTCTCTTCCAGGGGGCAACCGAAGGGCACGTACTCGTGAAGAATCTAGATGCTCTGCCATTGAAGGGGCCGCAAGTTGTGTCAGTCTTTGGTTATTCCGCCACTACCTATCAGGCCTGGGGTCCCGTGCAGGGGATGGACATGCTCAAGTGGCTTCTTGGACAGACTAATGCGAATCTGACGGAGCTTCTGCTCGCCTCCCGCTCTCAGGATCTGAGATCATCGGCCATCGCGATGAACGGCACCATCTTCACGGGCGGCGGCTCAGGCTCGACCACTCCAGGCTGGATATATAGCCCGCTAGACGCGCTGACGCAGCGCGCCATGAAGGATGGTACGGATCTGCTTTGGGACACGGTCAGCCCAGCCCCGTCCGTGTCCGAATCCGACGCTTGTCTGGTGTTCATCAACGCCTGGGCCACGGAGACACTGGACAGATCCGCGCTCTACGACGATTACTCGGACGGGCTCGTCAATTCGGTGGCGGACCAGTGCAGCAACACCATCGTCGTCATTCACAACGCAGGCATCCGCCTCGTGGACGGGTTCGTCGACCATCCAAATGTCACCGCCATCATCTACGCTCATCTACCCGGCCAAAGCTCCGGAGAGGCCACCATAGCCCTGCTATATGGCGACGAGAACTTCTCGGGGAAGCTGCCTTATACCGTCGCCCGGCAGCCAAGCGACTATGGCGACCTCCTCGATCCGGACCTACCGGAGGGCAGTTTCACGCTCTTCCCGCAAAGTGATTTCGATGAGGGTACAACCATCGACTATCGCGCCTTTGACGCGTTCAACATCACGCCACGGTACGAGTTCGGCTTCGGGATGTCGTACACAACGTTCGAGTACGCCGACCTGTCGATTTCCTGCCGGGATGGACTGTCTCACGATGAATATCCTTCGGGGCCTATTGAGCAGGGTGGCCATCTTGACCTCTGGGACAACCTCGGCGATGTCCAATTCCGTATCAAGAATACTGGCGGTGTCGCTGGCCAGGAAATTAGCCAGCTTTATCTCGACGGGACGGACAGCCTCAAACACTTACGCGGATTTGAGAAAGTAGCTTTGGAGCCGGGACAGACTGAGACGGTGACGTTGTCGTTGACGCGGAGAGACTTGAGCGAGTGGGACACTGTTAGCCAGAACTGGAAGCTGCGGACTGGGAGGATCAGGTTATGGGTGGGGGCCAGCTCTAGGGATATCCGATTGGAAGGTTTCTTGGAGTTGTAGAGTGTACACAGCAGTAGCCAATCCAATTAACTTCTGTATACTTGGGCCCGGGCTGAGTCTATGATGGAAACGTAGTCCTACGGCACGAAGATTTGATGTTCCCCAACCTCGTTAGCCATGCGAGGATGGAGTCTGCCGGAGTCGCTCCGCTTTTGGAGGGTTGAGGGAAAGCAAGCTCTGAATGTATATACATCTGCAAACCCACCTTTTTGACACGGTACATGTTCATGTACTCGGAGTTGCCTTCTCTTTTTGCAAGACCTGCCAATAATACCATCGATCTGGACTAGCCGTTCCGATGAGACGACCGAGATTAGATGTACTTTTGACTTGCTACAGGCTTGTCTCAAGACAAGCATCCTTACAATGAGTAACACGCCCTTCAGGTATTTCCAGTCCACACCTTTCATTTCTGCGCTGAGAGAGCCACAAGGTTCGCAGGCACTGCCGCGAGAACTTACCGTATAACACTGGGGTATTCTTGCGCGTAATGTTATTAATTACCGGTACATCCCCTCGCCTTCTTGTCTATGGTTCTAGCTGGTGTCAACAGCTCCACCAGGCACCATCATGTCAGAAGCCGCCAATGTTCTTGTAGTGGGTTGCGGTGCGGTCGGCACCATGTGTGCCTATGCCCTGCACAAATCCAAGGCGGCCACCGTCACGGGAGTTTTCCGCTCGAACTTTGAGGAGGTGCAGCGTCTAGGACTCTGTATCAGAAGCGTCGACCACGGAACGGTATTAGACTGGAAGCCTCATCACGGTAAGAGTTCAGCAGTGTACCCGTTAGATTATCATGAAGACCTAAATACCGGTTGCGCGGCGTCTAGTGGAAAGGAACATATCGGACGCGGCAAGGCACGGCCCGTTCGACTACGTTCTTGTGGCGATGAAAAGCCTGCCCGACATCTATTCTATCCCGGATCTTATTGCCTTGGCCGTCACGCCGGGCCGGACATCCATCGTGCTCGTCCAGAACGGAATCGACATAGAATGGCCCTTCGTCGACGCGTTCCCTGAAAATGTCGTGCTCTCGGGTGTCACTATGATCGGGTGCGAGCTCAATGGCCGCGAGGTCCTGCACAATGATCCAGACAAGCTGCACCTCGCCCCCTTTCCGAGCCCAGGTCTTCACCGGCGGAGGCAGGAGGACGCGTGCAGCACCTTTGCGGCACTCTACGCGCTCGGTGGCGTTGCCTGCGAGATCCACGAAGACATTGTGCGGCGACGATGGATGAAGCTCGTGTGGAATGCCTCGTTCAACCCAGTGTGCGCCATCACTGGACTGGACTCTGGTGCGGTCCAAGCCGCCGGGTACATCGACACCTTGGTACGTCCAGTTATGGATGAGGTCGTAGCTATCGCGGAGGCCGCTGGTTATGGGCTCCAGCCCGGTATTCAGGATGAGATGATTTCGTTCACACCTGAAGCGATTGGACTCAAACCGAGCATGCAAGTTGACGCGATGATGGACAGGCCGATGGAGGTGGAGGTTATTCTTGGCAACCCGCTGCGGATCGCGCAGGAGCTAAAAGTTGAGGCCCCGGTCTTGACGATCCTATGTAATCTTCTTCGCGCCAGACAGTGGAAGTACAAACAACGAACATGAGTTGATGACATGACTCAAGATGAGTTATTTTTGAACGAGAATTAGCAATTCAAGGCCAATCGGTGTTGCATCACGTTTGAGACCTACTTTCCATTGTTTCTCGCTATGGGTTTGCTTCTTGTCTTACCATCTGTGCACAACCTCTCGATCAAAGCTGGTATCGTCATATCCGGCTTCGTACATCTGTCTGGTCAGGTCCTCCTCGTGTAAGATTTCATTGATGACCTTGGCGTCAGTAATGGCCCAATAACTTTCGCAGGCCTCTGCGAATGCTCGCGACTTGGCCTCTAGGATGCTCTCCTCCACCGCTGCGAAGCAGAAGCGGAAGAAAACGTACCCCAGGTCCCTCTTGATGGTTTGGTTGGCTGCAAAATCCCCGCCCGGGACGACCAGTATGCGATATGGGTGCTGGGTGCAGTAAACCCACAGCCCCTGCATTAATCGGCGCGGGTTGATAGAGGTTAGCGGGTGACTGCCGATGTTCACCTTGACCCAGATAAACATGCCACCCGCGGGCCGCTGGAACGAGAACATCTCAGTCTGAACTCCGCCTATCCCCAAGAACCTATTCTCTTCCAAGATTGCAGCCATCTTCTCCATCCGGCGTTGATAGGTGAATCGCAAGCCCTCAAGCCAATTAATCCAGCCGCCCACCCCCCAGCCGCCGGGTTTCTGCACCGAAATCGCGGTCTCAGCGGGGCCGTCCCTACCGAAATCACCAATCAACTGCGTGACGATGGCCTGCACGAAGCCGGAGGGTTGCTGGGTGGTGCCGTCCGTGATCCTAAAGAGCTTCTCGCACACACTCGGCTGCGCTGTGACCCATCCAAGCCTGCAACCGGGCGCGACGGTCTTGGAGAAGGAGTCGAGTCGTATGACGCGGCCGTCATTATCAAGGCTCAAAAAGCTCGGGACGAGCTCGTCGAGGAAAGCGTAGCCTGTCGACTTGCCCCGCAGGTCGTGTACGCAGTAGTTATGGTTCGGGTCTTTAGGGAAGTTGGGCGTGGTGGATGTTGATGGATAGTACAGGTTCCAGTACGGGTCGTCTTCGACGATGACGAGGTCGAACCGCGAGCAGATATCATAGATTTCCCTCCGCCGTGGCAGAGAAAGTACTCCGGATGTCGGGTTTTGGCCGGTTCTGGTTCCCTGTTAGCTAGTCGTCATAGGATGAGGTCGCCGGCAGCATGCTCACGGAACAAGATAAACAACATGTGGCCTCTTCCCTAATTCGCAATCCCAAGTCTCAAGGACATGGCAGAGACTTCCCGTACCATATGCCAGCATTCCCTCGGTGTCCATTTTGACCGGTACGATGTTCACATCCTTGGGCTTGAGCTGAGCGATTGGAGGCCCATACACAAATTCTTCCACGATCAAGCCCTCGCGATTCCGCGCATCACCAGAAGTTTTATCCCAAGGATTGAATAAGAGTTCAAAGACCTTGAAAAGCCCATCCGCCGATCCACCATTGACGATAATGTCAGCGCCGCCGTCATACGGAATGTTCGGGTGGTAGATAGTAGTGGTAAGCTTCCTCAACCAGGCATAGAGCGGGGGAAAGCCCGAGGCGCTTCCGTATTGGAGCGCGGTGGTCAAGTCAACGTTGCGGACGGACCCCAGCTCGTCCCCGCGTCGAGGGATGCGTAGTTGGGGTGTCTGGCCCCCTGCCGCCTCAGAATATTTCGAGGGACCAAGTGAGTCCGGGTTGGATAGCGAAAGATCCACGTTGTTGAAAGGGAAGTAACTTGGACTGGGGAGGCCTGAAGATTACAGTCAACACTCTGCACCATTTTGGTACACATAGGCACATCATTGCCGCCGAGACATACCACCGGCCAAATTTCCCATCTCTGGTATCCGAAGATACTTGTAGTACTCCTTGAGTACATTCGGCGCCCTCTTCTTTGACGCTTGGGAGAAGTGATGCTCGAGATCTGTGGGTTTAGGGCGTGCGGACGACATGGTTTGTTTGCGAAGATGGCCAATGAAGCTGGGCTGTGTGACTTGTCCCTCAATAATGTGTCTGGATTTTCAGGCGTTGCTTCTTATAGCAGAGCTGGCAGGCTAGCCATGAACAGCCAACCAGGCCGCAATGGTCAGCCAGACGCCGCTTCCCTTAGCGGGCCTTACCCATCGTTGTTCCTGGAAGACCATGCGGATTTCTTCTTCCTCTGGCCTGGCGGCGCTGTTGTGAGATTGGAGGTGGCTGGCTGGCGCTAGCCGTTGGCGCTTTGATTTGGTCGAGCAGTTGTGGAGATCGTTCGCAGTTGACTTCCCTTAGCAGTACAGATATTTCGCACCTGGGTTCGCCCCCAGACGGCAGTTATCTCCTAGTGAAATGGCCAGCTCCGGTTGTGAAGACGACAGGGACCAGGAAGCTGTACTTTGAGACCCACTGACACACAAGGGTCACCGTCCAAATCAAACAGCTCTCATCTTCGTCAAATGCTATGCCACTTTGCACTTATGGTACATTCTTATGGGGAATGTTGATTCGTGGGTTTCAGACGTATTGTTGCGTGTGTAAATCGACCCCGGAATCATGGACAGGCTGTTATGGCTCGGAGATACTTGCCCGAATTCCAGACCTGCGAATGTCCTCATTCGTTTGAATGGGCACCGATGCGATTTGAAACTAGTCAGATAACACGTTCGAAAGCTTTGAAGAGGTATTCATAACCTCCTCATGGTCTTTCGTGCCTGCATGGGATGAGTTCTCGTATAGTACATGAACTTTCGACCTTCTCGAATCGCCATCTGCCCTCCTTTGCACATCATCGGCACACCAGCCTTAGACTTGCTCATTCTAGCTCGATAGCTAACATGGCGCAGACGGTCACAACAACAAGAATTGCCTCACGAGTACCACTGACTTCCAGGATGTCCACCACCTTGGATGAGGATGCTCAAGTTGTTCGGAAGTCCGTCGGACTGCGCCGCGTGGATGCCACATTCATGAATGGCCTCTCAACTCTCAATGGAGAGGGTGCTACCATCGGACGAGGCTTTCCAATTGAAGGTATCCCGACATTTGTGGATCCCTACAAGGCACGGCAATGGGCATTGGAGCATATGGCTGGAGCTTTTAGGGTCATGGCACGGAAAGGTTACCTCGAGGGTACTGCCGGACACATATCTGTCCGGGATCCCGTCGACCCTGACACATTCTGGATCAACCCGTAATTATCTAGGACTCCGGCCGCGGCGTACATGTCGCTGATTTCTGCACAGTGTAGCCCGACATTTTGCAATGATGAGAGTTAGCGACCTTGTTCAGGTAAATATGAATGGAGAGGTCATAGGTGGAAACAAGGTGAGAGGCCTTATTGATCTATGGAAATGCCTTGCTAATTCAGCACAGGCTTGTATTAATAATGCCGGCTTCACT